ATCTTTTTTAGTATTACTACAACCTTTACCAACACAATTAACTTAGTTAACCAAAGAAGAAGAAACGCTAACCAAAGTTCACCTATGCCATTGCTTTCTTTTCTCTCTTCGACAAATTCTCTCTTGAGCTCTTGGAATATTCAGAGTAAAAAAGTTTTTTCAAAATACAATTAAAAATGCTTCAGGGATAATTTTCAAACAAAACAAGAAAAGTCACGTCACTTGCTTATTAGACATGATAAGTAAGATTATTTTGTCAAACTTAGGTTAAGTCATCAATTTCATGGTCAAAATAATAAAAATGTTACCATGTGATATGGGCACACCATTTTAATTACTTCAGGGGTGAAAATACACCATAAATTACTCTAAGCCACCGAGTGCCTGAGAAAATACTCAGGGGTATTGGGTGCACCTTAACTCATTTAAATATTAAAAAAGCACTCATAAATATTGGTATGTTAAATTTAATTTTTTTTCCTTAAAATATCACTGACCAGCACCAACTGACAATCATTTGAGATTAGCAGCATTAGGGATAAAGAACTGATATGATATTTTATAAAAATTAAGGAATCAAAATGAGACTATATATTACCTTTAGTCCTAAATATAACAGTTAGATAAAATGATTTATTTCAATCTTAAATATAAGACCATAATCTATTATATCTCTTAAATTTATAATTTTTCCTAGCTAGAGTATATTTATTGAACTTAGTAAGGACTTTTCATCAAATGATAGTCATATATGCATTGAGTAAAAAAGTTATTTTAGAAAAATTAATACAAATTTACTACAAATAACTAAATAAGTTAACTAATTTTTTTTAATATTTATTAATTAATTATTTCACTCTTATTTTTTTCATATTAAGGAGTAAGGACGAGAGATGGTACAAAGTCAGACAGTTAAATAGGCAATATTACCTTTTTCTCCTTTTGAAAATATCTCAAACAAACAATATCCGAATTGAAGGAGGGAGATGAAGCATGAATAGACTACAAAGTGTGCACGACTCTAACTATTTGGCGACCACAAAAACCCCATGCTTGCGTCCACAGATTTCGGAAAGAGAATTCTTGTGAGTCAATTACATTATTAGTAATCTTCTATAAAAAAAAATTTTAAACCATATAACTATATTACTTAAATTATCACTTCAAATTATATAATTGTATCATATGAAGATAAAATTTTAAAATTTAATATAAATCTTGGTTGATTTAATTTTTAATATTCTATTCACTTGGTCCTGCATTTTATGTCAGTTTTCTATTTATTCATTATAAATTTAAATGAGAAAAAGACAGAAAAATGCCACTTGAACTTTATAATCCCCAAGTGGTCTGCTGAATTTGAGAAATCCCAATTTGGTTTCAAGAGACCAAATTGGGATTATCATGTTAAAAGAAAAGACCAAATTGCCCTTCATTTTAAATATTGTTTTTATAATATCACAGCCCCTATTGGGATTATCATGTTAAAAGAAAAAAAAAATTTTTGAAAATTTTTACAACTTCAGTATAACGATTAACAACTTTTGTAATGTTATTAACAACTTCAGTATAGCAGTTAACAACAGGTTTTTGGAAATTTAACAAGCTCCAGCGACCAGAAACAATTTTTTTGAAAATTTTTATAACTTCAATATAACCGTTAACTTTTGTAATGCTATTAACAACTTCAGTATATCAGTTAATAACAGATTTTTCGAAAAATGCAACAATTGGTCGTCGGAGTTCCGGTGGAGGAAAACAATTTTTTTGAAAATTTTTACAACTTCAGTATAACGGTTAACAACTTTTGTAACCCTATTAACAGTTTCAGTATAGCAATTAACAACAGGTTTTTGAGTTTGTTAACGGTATTATTGAAGTTATAAAAATGCCACTTTTTGAATTTTTCGAAAAACCTGTTGTTAACTACTATATTGAAGTTGTTAATAGGGTTATAAAAGTTGTTAACCGTTATACTGAAGTTATAAAAATTTTCAAAAAAAAAAAATTGTTAAAGTTATAAAAATGCCATTTGTTTGAATTTTTAAAAAAACCTGTTGTTAAATGCTATACCAAAGATGTTAATAGAGTTACGGAATTTGTTGACGACATTACTGAAGTTGTAAAAATGCTACTTTTTGAATTTTTCGGAACACTTGTTGTTAACTGCTATATTAAAGTTGTTAATAACATTACAAAAGTTGCTAACGATTATACTGAAGTTGTAGAAATTTTTTTTAAAAAAAATAGTTGCTAAAGTGGTAAAAATGCCCTTTTTTTTTTGAATTTTTAAGAAAACATGTTAAATGCTATACCGAAATTGTTAATAGGATTACAGAATTTGTTAACGGCATTATTGAAGTTGTAAAATTGCTACTTTTTGAATTTCTCGAAAAACCTGTTGTTAATAGCATTATAAAAGTTGTTAACCGTTATACTAACGTTGTAAAAATTTTCAAAAAAATTGTTTCCGGCCATCAAAGCTTCGGCGATCAATTGTTGAATTTCCCAAAAAACCTGTTGTTAACTGCTATATTGAAGTTGTTAATAGCATCACAAAAGTTGTTAACTGTTATACTGAAGTTATAAAAATTTTCAACTTTAATGTAATGTTAACAATTACGTTTTTTTAAAAAAATTTTACAACTTCAGCATAACGGTTAACAACTTTGATATAATAGTTAACAACAGGTTTTTCAGAAAATTCAAAAAGTGGCATTTTTATAACTTCAGTAATACCGTTAACAAACTCAAAAACCTGTTGTTAATTGCTATATTGAAGTTATTAATAGAGTTACAAAAGTTGTTAACCGTTATACTGAAGTTGTAAAAATTTTCAAAAAATTTGTTTTCCTTCGCCGGAGCTCCGGCGACCAATTGTTGAATTTTCTGAAAAATTTGTTGTTAACTAATATACTGAAATTGTTAATAGCGTTACAAAAATTGTTAACGGGTATATTGAAATTGTAAACATTTTTAAAAAAATTATTTCTGGTCGTCGTAACTTGTTGAATTTTTCAGAAAATTTATTGTTAACTGCTGTATTGAAGTTGGTAATAGCGCTACAAAAGTTGTTAACCGTTATATTGAAGCTGTAAAAATTTTCAAAAATTTTTTTTCAACCGACGGAGCTCCGGCAACCGGTCGGCCAATGGGGGCTGTGATATTTTAAAAATAATATTTAAAATGAAGGGCAATTTGGTCTTTTCTTTTAACATGATAATCCCAATTTGGTCTTTTAAGACCAAATTGGGATTTCTTAAATTTAACGGACCATTTTAGGATGGTGAAGTTTAAGTGGTATCTTTCTGTCTTTTTTCCAATTTAAATCAGTTTTAACATTGCAACTTAAGTGGGGACGTTGAGCCCCAAAAAAAAAAAAAACTTAAGTGGGGACGGGGCTAATTGATGATTACCGAACTTTGAATTTTGTCGCAATCGAGTTTTTTCCCCCATTAGGCCATTGCAACGTCATATATTCTTTAAGTTAATTTAATGAATAAGAAATATATTCATATTTTTTTATTCAAATTTATATCATTTCTTATGTGGAAACACTAAGGTCAAATTTGTTATATCTATTATATTAAATTTACCAATAACATATGACTATGTGTCATTTTTTATTTAATGTGAATTTATAATTAAATATTATTAAATATTAGTATTATAAAAATATGTTAGTTATGGGTAATTGGAGAAGTTAACATCATGGATATAAGGAATTTGATACAAATATTATCCTTTTTATATTTTAATTAGTCTTGAAAAATGTTATTTTTTAAATAAAATTAGCAACCAAATAAAATCCAAAAGTTAAAAATTTAATAATTTTAACTTCATGTAGATTAAGGCACCCTGTTTCTTTTGGGTGGAGGGGAGATCAAAGCAACTCCAAACTTTGTCTTTAAAGTTTATCTTCATTTTGTTATTAGTTTTTCAAGCTTATAATTAATAAGTTTTGATCTCTTAAGAGGCAAAATTATTCAATTTTTTATTAAATCATAGGGACTAATATCTTAAATAAAAAGAAACTTGATGGATTAAAATCTATTATTTAAAACTTAAAGGACCAAAATAAAATTGAGATAATTTTGAGAAACTAAAAATTATATTAATCCAAAAGAATGACCCCAAACTTTGACTCGTCTTTATCAATTTTTCATGAATGAATTATGAAGTTCATTTTGCAATTACATTCAATTTTTGTAATAAAAAATTATGTTATATTTTGATATAATTATATTTTCAATTAAAATATTTTTGAATAAGTTATATATATTTTTATTTTATGGAAAATATTTTAATGAAACTTTAATTAATTTGAAACTTTTTTTTAATAATTTAAAATTAGAATTCTATGTAATTTCGAAGAAAAATCTGTGATTAATTTTTCATTGAGTTATAATAAAATTGACCATTTTTTTGGCATCGGGAAAGCTTACATAATCCCTTAGTTATTTTATATAATATAATAGTTTGGTTAAATTCTTTGTATTTATTAGGATTACTATCATGTTTACCTCTTGAAATTTAATTTCCTTTTTATTTTAGTTTTTTTAGTTTTGCTTATTAAAATTTAATTTTAATTTTTGTCCATAAAATTTAAAATTAGTCATTCTGTCCCTTAAGTTTGGTTTTATTTGGATTTGTTTAAAGATTTTTGGGATTAGAACCAAACAAAAATAGGATCAAATTTAATAAATTAAAAATAATATTAATCCTATTTATTATATTAAGTTTTTTAATCACTAGTTTTATTAAAATATAAAATCGGCGCATGACTTAATATGATTGAAAATCTTGATATAATAGATACAAAAAAGTTTGTCTTAATATTATCCTCTATATGTGTATTTGTATGTGTATATACATATATAAAAAAAAAGGTATGTATGTATATTAGGGAAAGATACTTCCACGTAGATAAGATCAAATAATATCGTGAATAAATTGGTTTGTGTTCAATTATTTTCTATTGGTCATTTTCTTTTCCTCGACAGTTTTCTTCGGATTTGGATTTGCACAGGCCAAAAGCGACGAGAGCCATGACATTAGTGGCCGTGGCACCACCGTCTTCCGCCGTGTCACCATCTTATCCTTCATGGATATCCAAACGCAGTAACCCAAGAAGAAGAAGCTTCTTCAGTGGCAACAGAAGTAGCTTTAGAAGGCTAAAACTACCTCCTCGAGCTGCTCTGGTTGAAGCAACGCCGAGCTCCGGCGTGCCTGCGCTAGGAGATGGGTCGTCTTCCGTTAAGGTCCTTGCTCTTCCAGCGGACCGAGCCGATGACTTGCAGGCCGAGGCCAGAGCCATGGCACGTTCGGCCAATGCTTCTGTCTATAGCGCCAAGCTTCTAGCCGAGAAATATGGGTCTCAACCATTGAAGGTATTCTACGAAGGGAAACTTTATTTTGGTCGAAGGTGCTGATGGATATTCAAATTGGTCCTTCTCAAATTATTTATTTCATTTCCAGTTGTTCTATTCTTAAAATGCTTTAATGATTGAGACAGGTTATTCTCTCTACATACGACCAAAATTTAACCTAAATAAGTAGGAAGTAGCACATAGTTTCCAAATTATCCTAATGCTAAGTTGGTGTTCAATTTTGTATGAAAGTAGAATGCCTTAGGATTTTAATGACTGCGGGACCAAATTGAAAGAAGCCTCTTGTGGATGTCCAAATTGAAAGTCCACAGCTGAGTTTTATGCAAATACGATCTCTTTTCCGTCCTATCATTTGTGGGTGAAATCGTATATATTGTCTGTTAATTTGACCCCTTTTTTGTATTGAATAGGTGGCGGGAAGGACCCTGCAAGTTCTTTCTGCTTTAGGTTTATTTGCGTTCAAGCTGTTCTTAGACCAAAGCAATGGAATTCTTGATCAAAATAAAAGAGTCCGTGCAGCTGAGCTCAGGACCATATTCACACAGCTGGGACCAACTTTTGTGAAATTGGGTCAGGGCTTGTCTACCAGACCTGACCTCTGCCCACCCGAGTATCTGGAGGAGCTCTCTGAACTTCAAGTATTATGTTCTTTCCCTTAACTCCGTTTATCAAGAAACATGGAATTTTGATTGTTTCAGCGATTGATATCAATAGGCTGCTTGATAAGCTCTTGATTAATTCTTTGGGGTGTATGGCTTCGCCTTGGGACATAAACTTTGAAAATTTGTTCAACTATGTGGGGAAGTGTCGTATGCCCTTTATTGTGAATTATGATAAATGCTATGAAGATAAACATGCAAATGTAGGGTTTTTGGATAATTTTTGGTTCCTGTGGTTTGTTAGGATGGTTTACCCACGTTTCCTAATGAAGAGGCGTTTTCTTGCATAGAAAGGGAATTAAGACTATCTCTTGAGTCCATTTTCTCTTCAATATCGCCATCTCCAATAGCAGCAGCCAGTTTGGGTCAAGTGTATAAAGCTCGGCTGAAGTACTCAGGAAAACTTGTGGCTGTCAAAGTGCAACGCCCTGGCATTGAAGAAGCTATAGGATTGGACTTCTTTCTGATAAGAGGCCTAGGATTTTTCATAAACAAATACGTTGACATAATCACTACTGATGTTGTTGTTCTTATTGATGAATTTGCACGGAGAGTTTTTCAAGAGCTCAATTATGTGCAGGTTAGTTCTTTTCAATCAGTAACTTAGTGATTTTATTGCAGGAAAACATGGACCTTATGCCTGTTGAGAATAAAAATACAAATATAACTTCTATTTCTCTTTTTCTCGTCATATTTGTTTGTGAAATTATTTAAAAACAAACTGATAGGAATAGCCAATATTTAGCCCTCAACAGACCCATTGTCAGACTTTTCACTGCTTGCTTTATGTGCTTTTAGAGCACAAGCATCTGATGACCGTATTCTTCTCTCTCTAATTCAAAACTTTCTCAAAGGGGCATGTGCCTGCTATGTTAACCAATAATGTTAAAATAATTGTAATTCATATGATAATCTTTTAGAATTTAAAGTTAATTTTGACAGGTTCCTGCAGGAGGGACAAAATGCTAGGAGGTTCAGAAAATTGTATGCAGACAAGCAAGATATTTTTGTCCCTGATGTTTTCTGGGATTATACAAGTGCCAAAGTACTGACAATGGAATGGGTAGACGGAGTCAAACTAAATCAGCAGGAGGCTATAGAGAGGCAAGGATTAAAGGTCTTGGATCTTGTAAACACAGGCATACAGTGCAGTCTTAGACAGCTACTTGAGTATGGATATTTCCACGCAGATCCCCATCCTGGGAATCTTTTGGCAACACCTGATGGAAGGCTTGCTTTTCTTGATTTTGGCATGATGAGTGAAACTCCAGAAGAAGCAAGGTCTGCCATAATTGGTCATGTTGTTCACTTGGTTAACCGGGATTACGAAGCAATGGCTCGTGACTACTATGCTCTTGATTTTTTGGCACGTGATGTGGATGTTTCTCCAATTATACCAGCTCTTCGTGACTTTTTTGACGATGCACTTAATTATACTGTGAGTGAGCTTAACTTCAAGACTCTGGTGGATGGTCTGGGAAACGTTTTGTATCAATATCCATTCAATGGTGAGATAACTCTATCCTATTATTGACTTCATTTCATCCACTATGTTTTATTATAGCTAAGGTTTAGTCATTTGGACATTTGATCCTTTTTTCTTTTGTTTGGCCAATGGACATTAGATCTAGATACTAGAACACATATATAGACTTGGTATTAACGGGTAATTCTTGTATATTATGATTAAGTACTGTACAGAGTAATATATAGAGATGAGATGATTACAGGAAGATTACAAGGGATATCAAGGAGATATTCTAGGGATAATTTGAATAAAACTAATCCCTCCTATTTTGCCTAATATATCGGGATTCTGATTTTATTTCCGTATTAACCATACTCTCCCTCAAGTTGGATCATAGATGCTAATTATGTCCAACTTGCTTATGAAATTCTCAAACAAGTCTTCCAGTAGCCTTTTGGTGAGCATCTCTAGAAGCTGTTGTTTTGAAGTCACATAGGACAAGCACACAATTCCATCTTTAACCTTTTCTCTAATAAAGTGCCGATCAACCTCAATGTGTTTGGTTCTGCTATGTTGTACCAGGTTAAGGGCCATGTTCAAGGCTGCCTTGTTGTCAAAAAAAAGTTTTATTGGCTCATTAGTCTGGACTTGAGCTTCTTCTGCAACTCTTCTTAGCCAAAGACCTTCCATTATGCCTTGAGCTAAAGCTCTTAATTCAGATTCTGCACTGTTTTTTGCTACAACCTTTTGCTTTCTACTTGCCATGTTACCAGGTTACCCCACAAAAAAGTACAATACCCAAATATTGATCTCCTATCTTCTTGGTCGCCTGCCCAATTGGCATTAGTATAAATTTCCACTGTTCCAGTGTCACACTTCTTAAAGAAGAGACCAATTCCCGGTGTCCCTTTTAGATACTTTAAGATTCTATATGCTGCATCCATATGTTTCTTTCTCGGTGAGTGCATGTGTTGACTTGCCACACTAATTGCAAATGCAATATCGAGTCTCGTGTGATAAATAGATTAGTTTTTTTTACCAACGAGCAGTTGGTCGAGCTGGTAAGTGGGTTCGCCCCCCGTAAGGATGAGAACGTGTGTTCAAATCCCGGGAAGCGCTCTCGTTGGGAGAGGGGCTAACCCCACCTGTGTGGGCGGCACTCTCCCCCTCAAGTCCGGATTAGTCAGTTGCCAAAGGCGCCGGATTACCGGGCGGTGTATAACCAAAAAAAAAAAAAAAAGATTAGTTTTCCAACCAATCTTTGGTATCTCCTTGTTTCCACTGGTTCTTCATTTTTCTGGCGCTCCTTTTCTTTTTCTTCCTCTTCTTCAGAGGTTGTTTTCTTTCTACTTTGTCTTGTACAACTCTTTTTGGCATTTACAGGAGTTTTACATGGTTTGCAACCAAGCATGCCAGTTTCTTTAAACAAATCAAGAATATATTTTCTGAGACACATGAATCCCCCTTCTTGACTGCGCAACTTCCATGCCAAGAAAGTATTTCAGTGTTCCTAGGTCCTTGACCTCAAACTCTTGATTTAAAGCAGTCTTGATTCTATTTATCTCAGTTATATCATCACCTGTGAGAACAATGTCGTCAACATAGACAATAAGGATTGTTGTTAGTGTTCCGGTTTTCTTGATGAACATTGTATGATCAGATAGGCTCTGCTTATAGCCTTCAACCTTCAGTACCTTGGAGAATCTATCGAACCATGCCCGGGGTGATTGCTTTAAGCCATACAAGGATCTTTTCAGCTTACGCACCTGATTCTGTCTTCCCTTATCAAAACCAGGAGGAAGTGTCATATAAACTTGTTCTTTCAACTCACCATTTAGAAAGGCATTTTTAATGTCTAGTTGTTGTAAAGGCCAGTCTAAATTAGTTGCAATGGACAGCAGAACCCTGATTGTATTCAATTTCGCTACCAGGGCAAATGTCTCGTTGTAGTCTGTCCCAACAGTTTGAGTGAACCCCTTAGCAACTAGTCGTGTCTTGAATTTGTTGAGTGTGCCATTAGCATTGTATTTTGGAGTAAAGACCCATTTGCACCCCACTGTTTTCTTTCCCTTAGGTAGGTCAACTACTTCCCATGTTCCATTTTTTTCTGATGCCATCATTTCCTCCATTATTGCCTCTTTCTACTCAGGATGCTGAAGTGCGTCATACACATTGTTAGGTATTTTGATGCTATCCAGATCAGTAACAAAGGCGCGGTAATTATGAGAAAGAGTAGCATACGATACATACTTTTGGATAGGATGCTTGGTACAAGAGCGTGGCTTCTTTCTTAAGGCAATAGGTAAATCTTCTACGTTTCCTGCCTTTGTGGGTTTAGGATCTTTTATCGGAGCAGACTCTAGCAGAGCTTCAGGCATGGTGGGCTCTACAGTCTCTTTACTCCTGCGTGAATAAACCTTGTGAAATTTTGTGCTGGTTTTATCTCCCCCTACCTTTGGCACTTGTGCAGTGTTGGGGGCAGTAGTATCAATGCATGGAACAAGTTTAATTGGTGGAGGTTCAAGTAAAGGGGGTATGGGTTCAGGTACATTTTCCACAGGCTGGAATTCACTCCAACTCTCACCCTGAGTGGAAGACGTGGGGTAAAAAGGAATTGTCTCAGAGAAAGTGACGTCACAACTAACAAACAGAAGCTTGGAACTAGGATCATAATACTTATATCCCTTTTGAGTGGATGAGTATCCCAAAAGAATACACTTAACGGCTCATGGATCTAATTTTGACGAAGGGCGATGAAGATGAACAAACATGGAGCAACCAAAGACACGAAGCAGAAGCTAATGATCGAGATGAGTAAGAGGATGAGTTTCACCAAGTTTATCGAAGGGAGAGACAAAGGAAAGAACACGACTGGGCATACGATTGATGAGGTGAGTAGCAGTGAGCACTGCATCCCCCTAGAAATACTTAGGGACATTACATGTATAGAGAAGAGCTCTAGTGACCTCAAGGAGGTGCCTGTTTTTCTGCTCGGCAATGCTATTTTGTTGGGGACTAGGAGGACAAGAGCTATTATTAACGACCTCATTGGTTTTGAGAAAATGGCCTAATTGGTGATTGAAATATTCAGTACCGTTGTTGGTGTATAAAACCTGAATAGTGGTATTAAACTGAGTTTGAATAAGTTTGAAGAATTCCATAAAGATAGATGGTACATCTGACTTACCTTTAAGTATATCCAAGACATGCAGGTATGGTTATCTATAAAGGTAACAAACCACTTAGTGTGAGAACAATTTGGGACATGGGACGGACCCTGCACATAACTATGAATGATAGAGAACGGACGGGTTGGTTTGTAGCGAGAAAGGGGAAAGGGAGCACGACAATGTTTCGCAAGTTTTCAAGAATCACAATGAAAAATAAAATTTTTAATGGTAAATTGAGGAAACAAATGATGTAAATAAAAAAGACTAGGATGACCCATCCTTTTATGTCATAATAAAATGTCATTATCATCAAAGGGCGAGACAAAACCACTTATACGCGTACACAAGGCAACCACTATAGAGACATTGAGACAATAGAGACCACCATGCTCCCTAGCTATGCCAATCATCTTCCTCGATAAGAGATCTTGAAGGATACAATAGGTGGGAAAAAAGTAAGCACCACAATTTACACTTTCGGTCAGTTTGCTAATAGACAGCAGATTACAGGCTAAACGTTGGACATGTAAAAACAAAGTCAAGATGAAGAGAATCAGAAAGATTAACCGTCCCTTTCCCAGCAATATTAGAGCCAGTGCCATTAGCAGTGGTAATTGTCTCATGACCCGCACAGAGATGGTAGTAAACATACCAGCATCAAAAGTCATATGGTCAATGGCACCATTGTTGACAATCCATTTTGTGGAGGGGAATGAGGTGTGGAAGGCAAAGGGATTGGTACCTGAGGTGGCGACAGAGACAGAAGCAGCAGGAGGTGGGTGCTACCGTTGAAGATCTTGTAGGGTAGTAAGCAACTGAGTCAATTATTAGGCAGAGGAGATGATTCAGATGATAGGGAAGAATCTTGTGACACTTGATAGTCGCGGGGCTTATTCTTTTGTGATTTCCAATCTGCCGGCTTACCATGAATGTCCCAACAACGATCACGAGTGTGTCCGGGTTTCTTGCAGTGATCGCAGGAGACTTTGACTTTAGAAGACATTGGGGCTGCATTCTTACTAACAAGAGTAGAAGACTCAGAAACCGAAAAAGTAAGACGTAGATAGCATAACTTGATGCCGGAAGGCCTCCTGTCTAACTTCCGAGAATGCCTCGCGAGTGGTCAGAAGAGTTGACCGACTTAGCATGCGACTTTGCAAATCATCGAATTTTGACTTTGGACTAGCGAGGAATTGGAAGACTTGTTCTTTTTCAACATTCTGTCGACAACGGGCAGCATCAACTGAAGAGGACCATTTGTCCTGGGTTCTCAAATCCAGTTCCTGCCAGAGAGCAATGAGTTCCAGCCAGTACTCAGTAACAAGTTGGGTACCCTGTTTTAACTGTCAAATCTGAGTTTTGATCTCATAAAGGCGAGAGAGGTCTTCCTTGTCAGAGTAAGAATCACGCATTGCGTCCTAGATATCCTTAGCAGCTGGAAGATACATGAAACTGCGCTTGAGTGGCGGAGACATGGTGTTAATCAGCCAGGGCGAGACTAATGCATTATCGGTGAGCCACTGGTGCATAGCGGACGACGCTGGATCACTTGGTGCCTTTGACTCACCAGTAAGGAATCCCAGCTTTCCCCGACCACCAACAGCCAAACGCATTGCCTGGGCCCATTCATGGTAATTGGAATTGGTGAGGTGAGCTTCTCGGTGAGCTTCTCGGAGACGATGACCATCAAGGAGCCATCGTGACTAGAGGTTTACTTGAGGGGACCTAGTTTGGTTCGACGATGTTGGGGAGCCGTCAAGAGAGGAGTCCATCATGGTGAAGCCTCCCTTGGGGTTCGACCCAACCTGTGGAGGATGACAAAGACGAAGTAGTCGGATTTGATGAGGGGTGAGAATCTGCTGGCTCTGATACCATATAGACTTCATATTAACCGGAAATTCTCGTATATTATGATTGTGTATTGTAAGAGTAATATATAGAGATGAGATGCTTACAGGAAGATTACAAGGGATATCTCGGAAAGATTCTAGGGATAATTCGAATAAAACTAATCCCTCCTATTTTGCCTAATATATCGGGATTCTGATTTTATTTCCATATTAACCATAACATATCTGGTCACATAAGTTATAGAATGAAAAGGATAGACTACTAAAACATATATCTGGACATTATATCTTGATTGAGATAACTCTTTTCTTTTGATGAACTATAGCAGTTCCATAAATATAGACTACTTATGTCTAAACTTTCTTTTCCTGTGGTCCCTCTGATGACTTTTACATTTTTTTTTTTTGGCAGTTCCCGCTTACTATGCGTTAATATTGAGGTCCCTCACTGTTCTTGAAGGCTTAGCGCTTTATGCTGATCCTAATTTCAAGGTGCTTGCTGCTTCATACCCATATTTTGCTAAAAGGCTCCTAACAGATCCAAATCCTTATCTTAGAGATGCTCTTATTGAGTTGCTTTTCAAGGATGGGAGGTTCAGGTATGCATTCTGCTGCTATATTAAATATGTATCTTTTCTCTATACTTGGCGATATAGCATGTTTAGTATAAATAGGCTTGAATATCCATTAATCTATTCGAGTTCAGGTGGAGTAGACTCGAAAGCCTGCTGGAGCAGGGCAGAAAAGACAGAGATTTCACTGCTAGAGAGGCTCTTCAACCTGTCCTAAAGGTATTATTGAGTCCAGATGGTGAAGAGCTCAGGATTTTGGTTATCAAAGAGGCTATCCGTGTAACTGAAGCTTTTACCCTCAGCTCTATATCCGATTCATACAACTTCCTTCCTGACTTTGTGCGAATCCTTATTCCGAATGGCAATGCAAGTGGACCCTTTGTGATGTCAAGTGCTGAAAGGAAAAGCTTGGTGGAACTTAGAGATCAAGTGCTTCGAGTATGGAGACTTCTCCAATCCTCTGAGGATTTTGATCCATCTCTTTTGCTACCTATAGTACAGGTAAGAATCTTCGTTTGCCGCACCATCTGGAAATTATGTTTTCTCATACCTCTGCCTATTATTACTCACTACTCAGTCTTTAAATTTGTTTAAAATCAATGTAGTATTGTAATCATAAATGATGGACATATGTAAGCATATTTGTCAGTCATTGTTAATTTGATCTGCTTTTTGTTAAACAATGTATAAATGCCATTCTATAGTATACTGCACGTGTACCAGTTTATCTTAACATTAACATTGGCTTTTACTAAAACAAGTGCTACAGTTGTTGGCTAACTTTGTGGATCATCTATTGATTTTGTGTGAACGGGAAACTTGGGTGATGGATCATAGGATTTGTCAATTGAATGATATGTTCTTAAAATAAAATTAACTTCTTTATATAAATTTGGAATCAGATCAAAATTATAGGATATTATCAATATAGCATTTTGGCTAAACTTCTGGAGATAGTCTCTTTTGTTGAAGACAAATATTCTGATATATTTTTTAAGAAGCATATTTGAAATTGACATAAAGGATTTAATTTATTCTGAGCCATTGAAAATTTTTTATTGAATTTAACCGGAACTACTTGGTTTGAATGGTGCAAAAATCACATGAGCAGATACTTCAACAGCCTGAGGCACGCAGTATTGGTGGACGTGTTGTGGGTGGGATCACTCAACGTCTTGCTGCACGATTTCTGCAGCAAGTACTTAGAACTCAAGGAACAGTTTCTACATAAGACTTTCTGCCCAACAGGTCTATACTTTATAGCTAAGGCATGTATTTTTTTTAATATTTACTACTTTTTTTCAGCCTTATATTTACTACGTTGCTAATTAAAAGATAATGATTTCTCATATATCAATGAAGTGTAGCGAAGGAGTTAATGGTGGGAATCGAAACAAAAATTGGAATTAATGATGATTACAGGATTCATTATATAACAATCTCTCAAAAAGTGGCATTGTTACTAATGCATAGGGATAGAGTTTGGACTTTTTGTTGATGAATAGTTGACAGCACCAGAGGGTTATGTTTTGGATTATATGGCATTTCTGAACTCTGATTAATGAGTTTGTCGAGAAAGGACTTAGCATGTTGCCTGGATCACTCATGGAATGTTTAACACATCAATATCTTATCCATGATCTTGCTTTGATGATATTTTAGTTCTAAAACACTGCAAATAAGAAAAGAAACTTTCGTCAAGCTTTCTCTTTTCATTGTATAACAATGTTTTCATGTTCGGATGTGAAATAATAAGAACTGAGATAACCTAAGCTAACAACGTACCACTCGATAACCTTGACTAGGCGGTTGAGGATACTAACTTTCATGAACCAAAAGCAGCTAAAACCCACATTAAATTGAAATATTGTTAAATAAGCTGACTAGGGAAACAGATGCAAAGATAAAGAACAAACTGCAATTTTCGTCCTTGAAACGTTTTTTAAATCAAATTAGTTTGTTAAAGAATATTCAAATTCATTGACTAGGAAATTTTTAAATTTCGACTCAGCTGGAGTCCTAAATGTATGTATATTGAATCCTTATTCCGGATTGAGTCAAAGTTCGAGATTTTTGAGGTCAGTTGATGTGATTTTGGGGGGCTAAATGGATGAGAAACGAGGTTCAAGGGCCACATCCTAATGTACTTTGAAAGTTTGAAAAAAAAAAAAAAATCCTTGTACAGATGGACATCTCTATGTTATGAAATTGGTCCTTTGTGTGAGATTTTTATTTTCATTAGTAAATTCTAAAGAAAATAAACTGTGAAGCTTCTGGAACATTTTCTAAAGTATGATTAATTGCGTTTTCTTTTGCTTTATTGATGCACAGTCCTTTTTTGAACATTTTACAGTTTAAACCGCTCCTCTTTTTCCTGGGTTTAGTTTACTGTGTTGCTCCCTGTTGTCATTGGAAGTGTATCATTTATGCCTATGTGGCTTGTTTATCCTGGATTTAGTTTAGTATTTGAACGTTTAAATAAAAGTTTTATTTCTAAAGTATGTTTCGCTTGAACAGTTTCATAGATTTCTGAGGAAAATGTTGAATGCCTTGTCTATAGTTGAACATCCTAGTGTTTTGATCCTAATGTAAACTGAGATAATCATGTGAATGTTAAAATGATGAGCAATGTCGTCCGAATTAAGGTGAAATTTAGTATAGAAATTTAGTTCAATCGCAACAAATGTCGAAGCGCCATCTATTTGAACAAATATTTTATAATAAAATTGTTCATCGTTTCAACATTCTTGAGATTGTACACTGCAAAATTTAAATGAAAAATACTAGAATGATTAGGCGAACATTTTCTGACTATATTTTTTTTATAAATAAAGTGTTACAGTTATACTCCTTTTTAGTACTAATAATTTAGTTTAATGATGCTATATTTCAGCTTCCATCATCAATTTTTTTCCACCATAGTTAGAATTGGCAGTTTAGTCAATCATGAATTGCTTAACATTTGAGATCCTTATTCTGTCAGGTGATTATGGGGATGGAGTACAGAAACAGGACATTCATTTTACAAAAGAAGGTAAATGATAAGAATACAGTTAGTTGATTCTTGCCAAAGAAATGTTTGATTCTCTTCGTGGTTTTCTACCCCTTGATTCGGTCCACAAATTTGTATATATTGCTCATAATTATTGACGCTACTGTAGTGGTGACTATTGCGGAGCATCGGGATATCATAATGTGATATCTGTAGTAAAATAGCAGTTGTAAAGGCGTCCGATTCCTTGCTTCATTCGGTATTATTGTCATTATGCATTTACAAGTCATTTTTTTTTTTTTTGGGATAAAGTAGTTATTTATTTATTTATTTATTTTTAATTTTACTTTCACGAGTTTTAGGAGGAAATAAGTTGCCGTGACATGGTTTTTTTTCAAATTTAGGGTGTATTTGGTTGGAGGGGAGGGGCTCTCCCCTCATTTGGTTGAGAAATTTTGGAGGGGAAGGGAGCCAAAATTTTCCCTTCCAACCTCTCATGTTGTCCCCTTCAATTTGGAATTTTTCAGTGGTTCTTAGCTGGTTGACGGATTTTATATTTCCTCTATCAATGATGACTAGTGAAAAATATGCATTTTGAACAACTATAATTAGGAAATTAATAACAACACAAGGGAATTAACAACTCTTATTTTACTATTGAAAATATGCATTTGAACTATAGTTAGAAATCTAACAACACACAAGTGCATTAACAACTCTCATGAACAAATTAACAACATATAAGGGACTTGTCAGCTCTATTTTGCCGGTAGAAGAGTTTGCCGAAGATTCTTTTCCTACCATGGGTACTGTTGATTTCTTAATTGTAGTTTGTTCAAACGCGTAGTGAAATGAGAGGTGTCAATTATTTTATGTGTTAATTTTCTAATTGTAGTTGTTTAAACGCGTAGTTTCACTGGTAAATGAGAGTAGTTAAATCCCTCATGTGGTGTTGGTGTCTTAATTGTACTCGTTTAAATGCCTGTTGCAAATTTGCACTGTCACAACCTATGATTATGCAAATTTCCTTTGTAAACATGGTAATTGTAGTTTCCAAAATGAGCACGTCATTTCATTTGTCAAGTTACATAAGTTACTCAACACAGAAGTGACAATACAAGAAAATTAATGTTTCAATACAAATGCGGACACATTTTTGTATGTGTACGATGGCATGTTATTGCTTTCTTTTCCTTTCAATCGTACTACATGCATCTAGTGTTGATGTAAGGTTAAATTTTGAATTATTTGGATGAGTTACAAGCCAGCAAAACAAGTGAAACCTCGTTGTAATGACTTGTTCTTACATCACATTAGGTGCCATGTAAGTTCTAAATATGGGCAATATGTTATCAAAATAATGCATAGCCTAAAAAACATATAATTGCAGTCATACCACACCCCCACACACACATAACGATGTTATCACTTTACAGATGCTCATGTTATCACTGTTTTTAGATGAAGAGAAAATTGAGAGTTAAATAGAAGGGAGGGAATATCAAGAAGGAAAACTTCCAAAAAATAGTTTTTAAAAAGTACTATTTTAAGGAGTTTTCAATATTCTTTCTCCCCTAATTTTCTTCCCATCCAAATGTAGAAAACCTCACTAATGAAAAGCAATCAAAGCATAAGTAGTATCAAGTGAGCATAGAAAAACCGCCCAAATTAAGTCTTCCCATGGCCTCATAAAAATAAAATAAAATAAAATCTGACGTTGCACTAATCAGTTTGAAACAACTAAGTTGCTATTTTTAGACATTAATAAAATCACTGCATGATTCTTTTATAGTTTGAGAGGGGACATAAAAGATTATAACCAACATTTTTTCTCAAACACAAGATAATTCACTGCAATAAAATGCACAACTGGCTTCCAGTTTGTTTTAGAGAACGGAGGAGAAAAGTCTTTTTCCCTTTGTTTCTTAAAACAGATGAGAATAACATGGCTATTATCGTCTGTTTTACAGAACAGACGAGAATAACATGAATATTCTCATCTGTTTCTCATCTCTTCAATAGATGAGAAGAAATTTGTTTATTCTTTCTTAAACCCTAGTTAAAAGAAAGTGTATCCCCTCTTGGCTTTCCCTTTGCAACACCCTCTGTTCTCCCTCTCTGACTTTTCTCTCTTGCTTCCTTTGCACGACCGCACGATGCTCACTCCTCCATGGAGTCTTCTTCTCTACACAGCGACGCCGTTGATGCCTTATTTTTCAGCTCTTTCTCACCATTGAACAGATCGTCTTCTTCTCCATTGGTGAGTATACCCATATTTTTTTTCCCCCTTCTTCTCCTTGCATTTTGGTTGCTCATAGATAATGACCCACAAAACTCTTCTTCAAGATGACATGGGATGATGACCCATGACCCACTCATTCTCCATGATTTTTTTCTCCTTCTTTGTACATAAACCAGATCCACTCAACTGTCATCGACTTTTTTTTTTTTTTTGGTTGCTAAAATCGGCTCTCATCGTTTGTTTTTCAATGGTTGGTATTTTTTTATAAATTTATTTTTATTATATTGTACGTAGTTAGTGTTGGGAAGCCTTTTTAAATTATATTGGGAATTTGAAATTGAATATCACATAGGTAATTTCTCATTGTTTATGTTTTTGTTTTAAATTTTTGAAATGCTGAAATTGCTAGATTAAATTGTTGAAATTAGTCTTGAGTTGTTTAAATAAGTTTTGTTGTGAGATTGAGTTGAATTGGTTAATTGTTAAAATTCTTGTATGCCATACTTTTAAGGGGCAACTTTGGTATTTTTTTTTTTTTAACGAGTAAGGCATAGTTTGCAAGTAAACTTCAAAATTATATATTTGAGATTAGTCTTCATGAATTGTTTTAGTTTTGTTGAAATTGAGTTGAATTAATTTGTTGTTGAATTTTTTGGATGTGTTATTTAATCTGAAACTCTATCAAAAATTTTTAAAATGAGTAAGACATAATTTGCAAGGAAGCATAAAATTTGTGTTGAATTAAATAGCATAAAATGGTACGTTCCTCATATGTTGTTTTTACGAAATAACAGTATAGTGTGACTTTTTACTTCTATTTTAAACATAAAAAGAGTGCCATTTTTCTTGTCTGTTCAACGCAGAAGTAAAAAGTAAGATACTTACTATGTCTTTTTTTTTTTTTTCTGTCTCCCCGAAACAAAGGTAAAATGTCCTACATAATAGCAGTAAAAAATCGGTGCTATAGTAGTGACTTTCATAGTATTATTCATGCAACTTTGTCAGTTGTTTAGTACAAGTGAAAATAGCAAGACAAGAAGATCATACTGAAGGGAACTCAAATAATAAAGAAAAGGGAAATAGAGGGATGTGGTTAGATTGAACAAATAAAGGGAATTTAACAGGAGAAACAAAGATCCATTATGTGGGTTGGTGGCATATATATTTATGCTAAGAAACAAAAAACTGGACCGGACACTAAACCGGTTAATATAGTGATTTAAGGGTTAATGGGTCACATCGGGGTCCAACCAGAATCAAACCGGTATTTATTAAAATAATATAATTTAATTAAAATGAATAAATATATGAAATTTTTTATTTTTTTATTCTATTTTATCCCTTCTTTTTTCCTCCTTACTTATTAAAATCCTCATCTTTTTATTATTTTACCTCTTTCTTCTCACCCCACTTGATATTACTGCCATTTCGCACCATCACACCCATACCAAGTCAGCTTTTTCTTTCTTTGTTTCTCTCTCTCTTCCTTGAATTATGTATACAGGCACACAACATACTTTGCATTTTTTTTGAAAACACTCATCATCAATCCCCTTTTCTCAATTGCTTCTCGCGCCTCTCGTGCTCCTCCATTCTTTTTTTTTCATTCTTTCTTTATACACAACTTATCCCACTTCATTATCTTCCAGCTTCCTCCTCGCCTTTCAGTCTCCCACGAGCAGAATCAAAGGAGCAGGTAGCAGACTTCTAAACAAATTTTTGAGTCTCTCTCCATGATTTGCCATGCTTCTACCATTTTTCTGAGCAGTGTCCAGTATTTACAGCTTCTTCAACCACCATGAGATGTTTCATAGCTTCTCTGGCAAATGGTGAGAGTGGAAAAGAAGCGATGGAAAAAGGGAACCAGCAACCCATCTGACCCAGTGATTTTCCCAGTTTTTACTAATTTTTTCCGGTCCATCCTAGTTCTTTCCGGTTTATTACAAAGTTGGTTCATAAGCTAAACCAGACTGGACTAGACACCAGTTTATCGGTTTCCAACTTGAACCGGCCGATCTGGTCTGGTTTTTTGAGCCTTGATTTATACAAGCTTGGTATTAAATAAAATTAACAGGAACACTAATAAACTGGCATTAATGAGTATTTTAAAAAGATAATTTGGACTAAAGTTCACATTATTTACATGTTTTGTGTCACCATTTATTATAATGACGTTAAATGTTAAATTCCAATCTCCAAAGACAACTATTTAATTTTATTATAAATTTGTGAAGATTGAATTATTTCATAAAGTTAAGCTTCAGGAGCATAACACAACTATTTAATTTTAGGGTAGAAATTTGTTTCAGAAGTTTTCACTTAGGGGTGCTGGTTCCTGAAATTTTAAAATCACAGCAATATTATTCTTTACTATTAAAAAACTAACATTGACGTTAATATTTTTAAAGGTAGGGATAATATTACTATAATTTTAAATTTTCAGGACAAATTTGCGCACAGAAAAACTTTTGGGCGCCCAGTATTTTGAATAAAAACTTTCGGGACAAATTTACATATCTTAATCCATTTTATAAGTTCGTGTGTTACGGCTTGGTTAAGCAGAGTAATGAAGAAAAATACAAGTATAGAAGAACAACATACAACACGAGCAGTTTCAAAACTTCAATAATAAAAACATAGCCAAGAAAGATATCTGAATGGGAACCTGAACAAAAAGACCACAAAGCTAGTTGCAACAGACAAGAGAACTAGAGTGGATAATGCCAAGTAGCGGAGAATATGAGCCACTCTCAACGCAAGAATGACCAATAAGAACGGCAAAGGAGAATGAAGCTGCAGACGATGAGGTTTTCTTTTTCTTTTGTTTCTGTTTCTGTTTTTGTTTTTTTGAATTGGCAAACGCTGAAGTGTATGCAGGCACGGATCCAACCTGTGATATTAACATCACAAGGATGTCGTCTGTTCTACTTGAGCCAATACTCATTGGCTGAGGTTTTGTTTTCTGTTGTGCGTAATAAACCCATGAAATCTTTTCTCTTTTTCACATTTTTAGGAACAATATGGTCATTTTCCTTCTAAAATTAATTTCATTATGAAAATATTGAAATGAACTTTCGTATTGTTTTGG